GCCTTCTGCGCCGCGCCGCGCCCCCTGTCGCGCTGACCGGAACCACTCGCTACCGAACCCACCTGCATCACAATACACACACGTTTACTTCAAGATTCGTCGGTTATATAGAAAAATGGAGTTATTCAAATTTTTTTACATGACAAGCATTTGAAGTTTTCAAATTCATATAAATATTTTTTCTCTATAATTTTAAATTAACGTAAAAATATTATTCATTATTTTATCATTCATATTTTTTGATTGATTAAATTTATTTAAACAACGAATTCTACTTTTTTTTCCAAAAAAATGAATATACCTTACTATTTTTGTCTTATAATTTAAAACATTACCTGAGTGCCCTGGTCAGCTGTAGGACTCTTCCTGTGGCCCGCAGGAGTACCAGAGCGCGAGTTATTTTGTTGACATCCACCTCCAATGAGATCCAGCATTGAGCCTAAAAACAATTAAGTAGTTTATTATAACGTCACTAAATAATACATATGTTTAATGATAGCAGCTAAAGTTCAATATTCAGAAAGTGCAAAACTAACTACACATATGACATTTCACATATGAAGGTGGATAACAAGCGCAAAAATGCATGAAACAATAATAATAATTAAAGATAAAGCAAAGCATTGTAGCATATAAAAGAAAAAAATATATAAGATTTTTTTATTTTCCTTATTAGTTTAAATTTCTTTTTTTTTACCTTTTTTTGACTAAATGTAGATATTAGAAACATATCCTTAAAACTTAATATCTATATTAATTATTTGAAAATAATCAAATCAAAATTATTTATTTATTGCACAAGCAACAGACCAAGGAAAGAAGATGCAGATTGCGATTTTCTGTTGTTAATTTTGTAGTTATTTTTTTTTAATAATAACTCACTTGTTAGGTTATTAGATAGGTAAATAATTATTTTTTTGTTAATCATTATATGAATTAATATTAAACTGATACACAGAATTTTCTTTTGACTTTGTAGTTACATTTATGAAAAATAACAATAACAATTAGTTTGTTAGGTACTGTAGGGTTAAAAATCTGCAAGTAAGAGGGTTAGATACAATATATATTATTAGGTAGATAAAATAGAGATGTGATCATTTATAAAAATCTAAAGATGAGGGTGGGTGAAAAAAATGCATGCAGATTAATGTTAATGCAGTCACAAATCAATTGCTTTGTACATACTTTCTAATAAAACTTAATTTCTGAACCAAATATTTTCAATACCCTCAGATTACAAAGCATTTGTTTGTTAAGACAAAAATCGCAAAGTAGCATATGTAAGCCAAAGCTGACATTTTCCAAATTAAATAAACCTTGGTCTTTCACTTGGTTGGCATGGTGAATGACTCCGGATCCTATCGGAGCAGTGGCTGGCTGAGGTTGTGGAGCCAGGTCCACCGATGCTTGTGGAGACAACTCACTCGTCTTGTTTAGCTGAGCGTGAACATTGGTGGGGAATCCCGACATTGGGTGGTACTGGGCATACTGCTGCCCCGCCTGACCCACCACAGGGTGGTTGAACTGCCCTCCGTACTGTCCCTGAGTGGTCCCAGGAGTGAGAGACGGAGGCACAGACATCTGCATGATTGCAGGGTCATTGGCGATGGTGGGGACATTGTTCAGCACACGGATATCCTTGATGTCAGACCCACGAAATAAGATGTAGTCATACACCTGAGTTTGTGGTGCCACCGGGAATTGCGTCTCACGGTCCTCAGTTCCATATGACCTCACTGTGAAAATTTAAAGATTTAAGAAATGAATTACAATAATTAAAAAATTAACAAAATGTAACTGGTAGTAGAATAACATTCATGTACATTCTGACAATCAGTAAATTATCAGTTTTATTCTAAATTTCATGAAAGCATCAACCTACCTACTACATAAAACCATTACAACTATTTTTTTAAGTTCAATGTACTGTAAGTATAAAAAAAAAGCTATCTTTATTTACGCATTTTAATAACTAAATAATTGCATCTTAGTGAAAAAACATCTATTAACTTATGAATAAACAGACAACTTCTAGAAATATCGTGTTGAAATTGTTACATCTTAGAAAAACCAAACAGAAGTTGTTTACAGGGATTCAGTATCAACGTCATCAAAGTGTAACATCGGTCGGAAAGGCGGGTCATGTAATTACTGTGAGGGTAGATGGAATTAAACGTGATTATCTAACTAAATCTTTTATTTGAAATCATTCAATACTAAATGTAAGGAAAAGGATTTCGTTTTATTAATGCCAGACAAAACTACCCTTAAAAGTCAACAAACAACTATAGGAGGGAAACGAATAGTTCAATTTTAAGAGCTGCTATTATTACCTGAATTCTAATATTCATAATAATTCCACTTATAATACTTGAGAACACTAAAATAGACACTTTTTATACGTGTTTAACTAATATAGGCAGATATCCTGAGTATCCATTTGTCAACTTACCGCTAGCTAAAGCGATGGTACATTCTTGAGGATCGACGGTAAAAAGACGGCCTTCGTAGCGAATGTCGGCTTTCGATATTAGGCTTATTTTGGAGCCCAATTCAGGCATTCCAGCACTCATTTTGTCACTTTTAAAATTACTTGCAGATGACAAAGATTTTTACTGATTTGTCGACCGCGAACTTTCTGTGAGCAAATAAAATGACTGACGGGAAGTTGGCAACAAGCGCACCGTTTACAAACCGAAAACCAATTACAAACAGCTGGGAATATAGATTATAAATGCAGAAGAATGGGTGGATTTGGTTAAGTTTAACTTAAAAATAAAATTCTTAAATAGACTTCTTTCAATTTTAACTACATAGCTGCATAAAACATTCAATTAAAATCATATTAGAAATTTTATTAATTAAGTTAAAATAAAAAAGTTAAAATGAGCTTTTATGAGCATTGGCTCAAGCAATTAGTAAAACTAGTAATTATTATAATGGATCTTGATTATTTACACCAGTGGGTAAATATTTAAAAGTTTTGAGTGAATAAACTAAACATTGTTTTACTACGAAAAACCTAGAAACCCTTGGATTGTATATTACATTTAGATAGTCCAAATTGATTACAATTGAATTGAATCTCGACTTCGGGTAATTAATGTAATCTAATGATTATAAAATATCGAATCGGTTGGTCATGATTTTATAAACGAGTTGAAATGGCTAAAATTTTTTATTCGAATTCATGGACGTTTTTGTGAAACGAAACGTTCGTCCGTTACAGATACAATTTTGAATTATATAAACAGTTTTGTTGATAAAGATTGATAACTGTTAAAAAGATTTGATTTAACAATTACTTATTAACTTAAACTTTATTAAATTAGTGTTTTAATGCATTATCAACGAGTTGTGTATATCAAAAAGTGATTTGAATGTTATGATGATGGACACTTCGATAATTAACACCCCGGTTGCTAGGTTGAGTGTTGGCGGGATCAGCAGTCCTTTACGTAGGAGAAGTCTTATAGCGCAAAAAAATCGGATAAACAGGGACGAGGTAACTTATTTTCGCAATATAAAAATGTTTTTGTCAAAAGTTATGTCTACAGTTACTGTAACCCTTTTGAACATTCAATACGCTCTTATAAGTAATATGCCATAGAACTTTTTATTATTGCCTTGTTTGTTGACACAAAAATTGTAACTCGTTATCTAGACTTTTGCTTTAACTTTAATTGTTAAAAAAATATACTACAATTAATACCATAACTTACACAAGTTACTATGTTCCCTTATCGTCAAGCAAAACTTTGGGTATTATTTCTAGGTCTTGATTTTAATGTTTTAGGAACGTAATGATGACGATGCTGAGCGTTCGTCATTGGTGGCGTCGGAGCGTGCCCTGGTCACATCCACACCACTGGCTTCTCCCGGACGGAGTAAAGACACAATGTCATCATCACCGCAGAAAGAACATTTCCAAGGCTGTCTCAAATTGTATGCAGAAAATGTAAATACTGTTATTTTTAATACAACATATTTGTAATTGTTAATTTACCAATAAGAAATATTATTTGTCACCATTTCCAATTTTGAAGCATTTGATATGGTTCATGCCAAAGATTATCCAACCTACAACTTTGTTGTTTGTGGCTTCATCCATGTAAGAAGTAAAAATATAACCTTTGCCAGCGATAACATAGCTTTTTAATGGTGAAAGAATTTTTGAAATTGGCCCAGTAGTTTTTTAATTATTTCAATACATACAAAAATATAGACAATCACACTAATACTATTTATTGTAATCAACTGATAATTAGTTTATCTTTTTCAAATATGATCAGTATTGGGAACACATAACACTGTTTTTCAAATAATTAAAAACAAGTGTCAATAATACAAATATAAGTAAAAAAAATGATAAATAACCATTAGGCTTACCTTAAAATAATCTGAGCTTTATCAGTTCTTTATTCCAGCTAAATAGTATATCCGAACCCCATTAAAATAATCCATTGCCATTAATTTTCAGAAAATCAACAAAGATAATGCATGGAATCTGCAGCTGATAGACTTCATGACGTCAATGTTGCGACGTCACGACGCGCGTATGGACAACCTGCAGACTGCCTCTACTGTGGTGGACGCATCCGCACGCATCTACTCCTACAGGGTGGACGCAGTGCATTATGATGTGCTTAAAATGGCCGGAGGACTTAGCAAAGCTGCTCAGGTAAACTTTCTAGACTGTAACTAACAATAGCAATTATTGTTTATAAACATAGTTCTCAACTAGAAAAAAAATATAATGGAAAATTGTAATGATTAATTAAATAATTTTTTAAAGCCTTCATAATTTTATATTTTTCCATTATTGATGTTTTCTACTATATGTATAGTTTTAGAATTCAATTCTTAATTAACTCTGTACTCAGAGTCACTCCAGCATTCTCTTAGTATTGATTTCCCATAGATGATATTCTGGGGTTGCTTCAGTTTTCTCTATTGCATTATTCTAATGTCCACAAAGTATTTAGTTTCAAATTTTCCCGCAACATGGCGCCGTTTTCATATTCCTTAAACTTCTATTCATTTAATAGGCGAAGCGAGGTAAGAAAGATGACAATGAGGAGGTTGGTGAGGAGCCGGCAGACAGCGCCACCGTTAAAAAGAAAAAGAAGAGAACTAAGGGTGCCATCGCAGCCAACCCTGAAGTCTTTAATGGAGATTTTGATTCTAATGATTTTGTTGGTCAGTAATATGCAATTTTATATATTACATCTTTTATCCACGACTGTGCGAAATTAAAAAAAAAATAGTATTAGATATTGCCACAGAATACAATAATAAACTATTTTTTTTAATTGGTCCAATAGGTTTTAATTTACTGTCACATACAAGAATATGTCTTTCCTCTCTTAGAAGAGTATGTAGAAGAGCAAAAGCTGTTGCTTTATTAACTCCTACACTCAGAGTTGTTAAATATCCCTCAGTGAAGAAATAATAAGAGTAATCCAGCATTTACTCAGTAACATACTTTGAAAACTTGATTTTAATAACATTTCAATATATTTTATTGGAAATTCTTTGTACTAGATAAAAGGATATTATAACTGTTATCTAATACAGATTTTAAAAAGATGCTTTATAAAAAATTAGCTTTCTCCCGCGTCTCCTTCCGCGCTGAGTTAAAAAAAACTAATGCAAGTAGCCTATGTGTTCATCGAAATCCGTTAAGCCGTTTTGGCTACAAACATCCATCTAAACTTTCACATTTATAACATTAGTATGAAGTATTATGATGTACAGTTTTGTTGTTACATGTGGTTGGTAAATATTTTCAGATCCGTTTTTCGAGAGGCTGGGGGCAACCGCGGGCGATGTCACCTCCTCCAATAGAGCCTTCAATGCCACCCTGCCTATACATGATGACACCTTAGCACTTATATTGAGGTAAGATTTTTTTTATTAAAATATTAGATTATTTTTGTTAATTTACTAATATTTCCTTTCACCATTCCAACTAAGACTAGGCTTGTGTTGGGATATGGTTCACGACATTCGTCGAATAGCGGGAGCCTTGACCGTAACATCGGTAGTCCGTACCCCTAACTGTTAGGCTATTGGCGCTTCTTAATTTAGTAGTAGTTGATTTGGAAACATGGTCTGTGATATTCCATTTTATCGCCTTCTGTGAAATAAAATTCATTAGTCAAATTTTATTAAGCACATCTTATTTGTTATTTATGTTCTGCTTGGTTATTAATAATGTTGCTGTTATAATGAACTAACCTATAGGCCTGTTAAAACAGATTGGATCATAGAGTAGAGGAGTTTTTTTTTATCATTTATGCGATTGGAATAACTGTTATTTATTTTTTAAACCTTACTTTTGATGAGAAAAGGCTGGTAAAAAAAATATACTGGGTTCCTTAAGTTAACCTATTAAATAAAATTTGACATAGTATGCAATTTACTGAACCAGGCCCACCAGCGGCTGTAGTGTCTCAGATGATAATGTCCTTTTATACATTTCCAGAACGGATACTCCGTACTTGGAGCCAATCAGCAATGAATCAGAATATTTGGAGCTGAGCGAGAAGATGACGCTGGCGAGCAGGCTGTTGCCCGCCTTCACCAGCGCGGACCGCATCTGCGAACCCTTCGCCGCATTCTCCATCACCAACTGGGACCCTGACACGGAGTACACGTCAGTATATCACCAGCTCATTATCTGTCTCCGCTAATGCGCTTGGAGCCTACCATAAGTTAACTGCTCGCAATGTTGCAGCTAACCATATAAAACACTTTTATTTTCATGTGTAATAGGATCATCATCATCACCAGCGTAATAAAAGTAACCATTGACGGATTTGGAGCATATCCTTAGATTGCATTTGATTTTATCGGCCATATTTCAGTAATTTGAAAACTAGCACATTTGGTAAGATTGAAATTACTTCGAAAATTGTATTTTTAGACTTTCGTATGTATTAAAATAACACAAAAACTACTGGGCCGATTTGTATAATTCTTTCCCCATTAAAAAGCTTCGTAACCGCGACCAACAGCTAGTTTTATATATGTTTATTGTGTGTGTGTGACAGCGAGAGCCGCGTCAGCAAGTGGGTGGAGGAGCGGCTGAACCTGTCGCAGCAGGCGCTGGCCTTCGACGTCAACGCGGACGTCGAGCCCATTCCGCACGACGACCTGCACAACGATCTCTTCGGTAACTTTTACTACTAATATGATAAACCAGCTGTTACCCGCGACTTCGGCCACGCAATGTTAATATAAAAAACTAGTCTATAATATGCCCGTCTATGTCATACTTTATATTGTCATATTTGTTCATAAGTTACTTTTGTGTTTATGACAAAGTACATTTTACGCCTTCTTTTCTTTTTCTATCTTTTTGGTTTCGAGTTTAACCTGAGTAGGGAAGGCTTCCACTACGACTTCAGTCGCGGTGACTTTCGGAGCTTCGGGCTCAGTGAAATTAACGTTGCGTTTGTATCTGTAGTAACGAGTTGAGGCCGCAACTGAATTGAGGAGAACGTCACCACGATGACCATAAGGGCAGGTACAAACGGGATTGTCGGCCTTGTATTTTTATTTCGCGGGATAAATCTTAATGAATATATCTTGTCCCCGGGGTGGGACATGGTTATGTAGGGTTATACTTACTAAAACCCTCTCAGTAGCGATCCTCTAGTGCTACAAGTGGGGCTCCGGGATCTCCGGTGGAACGCACCGATACGGCAGACGATAGTG